TTGCGATGGCCTGCCAGGGTCAGGGGAACGGGGAGGAGGGGGTACGCTCTTGGTGTCGCCCACCTTTCACCGGTTCCTTTGCAGGACGATGATACCTGTGAGGAATGGGAGCGACACGAGGCTCTGCACGAGGACGTGACCAAGCAGGACCGCACGGAGGAGCGGCTGTTTGAAGAGGAGATCGAGCTGAAGTGGGAGAAAGGCGGCTCCGGCCTTGTCTTCTACACGGACGCTCAGTACTGGCAGGAGAAAAACGGAGGTAACGTTGATGCTTGTGTTGCTGAGCCACAAACTAACTAACCCCTGCTGTCAGGGGGGCCCAGCTCTGCAGGTAAATCGGGTGTAACCCCATTACATTCCAGTTCAGCTGCAGAAACGGGCACTTCCCGTCACTTTTTAACCTTCCCTTGGTCGCAAAACCTGCACCAGTTCAATCCAGGCGCCATAGACACCCCCCTGGTTCCTACTGGCAGCCTGTTGTGTAAGTGCCGGGCTTTGCAGGGTCTCTAACACCCTTTTCTTCCCGTTTTATTAAAGAAAATAAGGGGCTGGACAACCAGCAAACAGCTCCTCTCTGTCGAGGCCTCCACAACCGTCACTAAAACCTGCGCTTTCTCTCTCTTGGCAGACTTCGACGAGCAGACTGCGGATGACTGGGATGTGGACATGAGCATCTACTATGACAAAGGTATCTCAGCTGACTCCCCCGCCCGAGGAAACAGGGAAGTTTGGGAAGTTCTGACCCTGCAGAATTTCTGCAGTGGGGAACTCTTGGGGCTCTGTCATCCTTTGAAAGCGTCCAAGACGTCAGCATACTTGAGACGATGTTTTTCTGGTCTGGCAGTGACAGCTGCCAAAAAGAACAGGTTCTGCCTCCTCGTTGCGTGATGCTCTGGGGGAAATGAGGGCAGAACAGCTTTCCTAAGCTGTGCTGCTCTGACTCTTGCTTCTTTCTCCTTAGATGGAGGTGATAAGGATGCTCGGGACTCGGTCCGGATGTGGCTGGAGCAGCGACTCCGGGATGGTTTGGAGGATGGCTCCGTTTCCGGGCAACAGATCGGCACCTTTGAGAGATACACCAAGGTGAGCTCTGGTGACGTGCTCAGGAGGGGACAGGCTGTGGTGGGGATGCCCAGAGGGTCTGGGTTAGGGGGACGAGGGGCTCTGGGAAGGTGAGGATGAGCTTTGTCCAACTCTGTGCCCTTTTTTTCCCCTCTCCCAGGGCTTTGGCAGGAAGGTGCTGGAGCAGCAGGGCTGGACGGAAGGGCTGGGGCTGGGCAGCAGCAACTCCGGAATGGCTGAAGCTCTGGACAACAAGGGTCAGAACCCCAGATGTAAGAGGGGGCTGGGGTAAGTACCCACTTCCCAGTGCCAGCCTCTGCCCTGGCTCTCAGGGCTGATGCAGCAGGTAACTGGCCGCAAAAGGAGCGGAGAGGGAGCCAGAACTGTCCCAAGGCTCTCCCTTTCTCCGCGCAGCGGGTGGCAGGGCGTGCCCCAGCGCCCCTG